GCCCGGGGAGGCCGGCGGCGCCGCCCCGGGGCGCCCCCGCAAACCCCGTTTGCGTAAGCGACGGAGCGGGCAGTCTGCGGGGTGCCGCCGCTCATGCGGGCAGACGGGAGGCAGGTGGGGAACAAGCTTCAACGCAGCCTTTTCTTCCTCAAAACAAGAGGAAGAACGCATTTCCGTCACAAATTTTAAAAATGTAAAAATACTTAAGTTTCTTTCGGTTTTTTTTTGTTCTACTGAAGTTGAGAAAAATCTGTGGCTCTGCATCTTATTTAGAGCACTGATCTGCCCCGGGAATGATGGAGCAGAGCAGAAAATCGCAACCACCTTCCCCACGTAGAAGTCAATAAAAACGTTCACCCTAAACAAAACAAAAAAATGACTGACACAGAGTGAGACACGGGTACTTAATAGTGAAAAGACGGAGCTGTGGTGGCGTGCGCCCCTTCCACCAAAACCAGAGGCATGTCTCACAGCACGCACCGGAAGAAAGAGCGTCCCAAACTGGGGGGCTTAGGGGAACGCAAACCAGTACGGGCGATTCTGAAAGCCTGAGGGAACGCGAACGAGTGGCAACGGCAGAGAAGGAACTGCTTTTAGAAGGAATTTTACTGGGGAGGGGGAGCTCTGTCCTGCGAAGCCTCTGCTTCTTCCTTCAGAGTGGCTTTTTTTAACCTCGTTGGTATCTTCCCAGCTCTCCTACATGACCTGCTCCTTCCCCATTTCTTAGTCCTGCCTTCATGGTTATCTAAAGGAGAGAACTGTTTCTGAAAACCCAGCGGAGTGGAACTGCTTTCCGGATATTTCTCCTCTTGAACTGCACCAGGACGTGGAACACGTGGGTTTAGAAGTCGCCTGCAAGAACCACCTCGTCTTCTGTAAACTCCTGCTGTGTTACATCTGCGGACCGATTTTAGGATGAGGCTCCGTTTCTACAATATGCTTGTCAAAAGAGAGCTACATCAATATAATCATCAAAATACAAGAAAAATAGTATTTTAGCCTGGATTTGTAACTCTTTTTGTCCAGGAAACAATTATCATGATAAATTCCAACTTAGGGGAGCGGCAGGAAGGGTATCACGATGGATTTCAATTATGGGATGAGCAAGATTTACAGAGGGATATAAACTGTGCCCTTTGGTAACAGACATTCATCAGCAATAATGCCGACTTCAAAAACGGTACCTGCGTGGGGAACTGACTAAAATCACACCTGCACTGGACGTGTAAGAGCTGGGCAAATTTAAAACACGACTCCCTCTTTCTGATGCATGCTAAATATATTAAGGTAACCTGTAAACACAGATTTTCTCTTTCACGTATGTGTCAAAGGCAGCTACACTATGTTTGCTCTGTAAATTCAAGTGCTGCTTTATTTACTTATTTGTACTTCCATTTTACTTATTTAGAACAATTTCCATATGGTGACATGCCTTTAATGACACTCATGACTCAGAAATACTTGTCGATGTAGTCAAACAATGTCTATTGACATGAGTCACTGAAGTTAAATAAATGTTATTTAAAATGAGACAAAACAAAAGGCAAATATATATATATATCCAGCAGAACGATAGGGATCATCACCATTTGATCAATCTTCCCTGTGAGTTTTATCTGCAAGTTACTTTGAGGTAGCGCTAGAAAGAAGCTGTTGGTCCAAGAGCATCCCTGCAAAAAGAAACATTCACGGCTTCAGTACCATTTAACCTTTTTGTACCCTTTTAAGTATTCTTTACCCTTTTTGGACTGTTTCTTTCTCCCTGTTCCCTGACTGCAGGATTAATAGCCCCTCAAACCATCGTACTAAAGCCTTACTGTTCAGAGAAGTGATAGAAAACAAAAACACTACCCTTGAAGAAATCAGCGGGTTTTGTGTAAAGGCACTATCTATTGCAGCTAGGTGCAATGAAGAGTTTATAAAACCGATACTAGATATTCTTGCAAAAAAACCTTCATCAAGCTTAAAAAAAAGAACAACAAAAAAACCCAACTACATTTCAGCTAGGTAAAAGAGAGAAAACACAACTGGAAGAAGTGAAATATTGTGGTGTTGAAAGAGTTGCTTCTAAGACAGGTTTGTTTTGGTTTTTTTTAAATGCTCCCACTGCAATCAGATCTTTGTAGAACTGATGGCAGGCACCTGTACAACGCGTTCAGGTCTTTGCGCAAGCTAGCTAATGCAAGCTGGTCATTGTAGAACAGCTCTAAGTTTACTCAGTAAAAAGCCTCAGCAATGCCTTCTAACAGTTCTGATGCATTCACTTTCTCCTGTATTTGGGGTTCATGGGTAACACACCAACACAGGAAGAAATTTTGCATTCAGTGTGCCTTTGCAGTGGAGAACGTGCACTGCACACACCACCTTGATCCCATGTATGCGCTCCTGACTGGAAAGAGGAATAAACTAGTAAGGCTCAGGAGACAGAAAAAGAGGTCAGAGAGCTATTTTAGAGCAGTGTCACATGGGCTGCAACCAACACGCTCTCTTCCTCACCTCATTTTTCTTCTACGTCGACTGGAAGAAAATACACGCCCAACATTTCTCGGGTTTGGAGAACCACTGGCCCAAACGACCTCTTCTACTGCATTACATAAACAGTACTTTCACTATATGGGTACTTTACAGCCCAGAAGAGAAGGCGCATGCATGTCTGAAAACAGTCTTTAATGCAGAGTGCAGAGACCTTGTTAACAGCAAAATCTGCGTAAATGGGGTAGCTACAGACTGTGACTTTTTTGAGGTTTATGGACTGTGGTGATACAGTGTCAGACTAAGCGAAATCACATAGCTACGTGGGCCCCTCGCCACACAGTTCACACGTCGATCAACCTCCCAAATGCCAAAAATCAGCGTGGTTACTCCATAGCCAACACACGTCCTTAGCATCGCATTTTTAACTGGCAACGCAATAAAAGGTTTCCACAAATTACTTGCTGCCACTTAAGTACAATGTTAGGTCAAGCTATGCAAGCCACTTCAAAGCAGGATATAACCCCGGCACAGATGTGGAAGCTGTCTGGCTGCTGGTGGTGACAGTGCTGGCTAGATACAAAATCCTTTGCTTAGCAGACCAGCCTGCGCTACCAAGCTCAAGCACCACAGCTATGCACTACAACTGAAGTGGCATCAAATCCTGTATGGTTTTGAAGCTTTAACACTGCCATCCGAATTCAAGGGGCCTACATCTAACTATCTTGAGTTTCATCCCTACTGCAGTCCCCTTAAACAATTCCATACATGCACACAAGCACCCCCTTCCATACATGCACACAAGCTCCCCCTTGCCCTACCCAGATTCTCTTTGCTTCATTTATTCCACTTCCTGGTCACATTCGCATGAATAATCTCCCTCCCATCACCCTCCAAAGACTCATCAGATCGCACAAGGGAAACATTCACCCAAGAAATGCACATTCCCAGCTACCTTGCAACTAGCTCTCCCCAAAGCAGGAAAACAGTTGCTAGAACTGATGCTACTCTCTCTGCCTAGATGAGGTTTTTTGCTTTCTGTTTCTTCCTACACGTACATATGCACAAAACCCAGGAAGAATGAACTTCCTCTAGTACTCCAAAAGCCTTTCCCGTTTTAGAGAATCTGCATTTCATGGGGGGCGACTTTGAAAATAGTCCTAGCTGAAATTAAACTGTGAAGAAAAGAGGGAGATTCTGGTCAGCAGCTAGAAATGACCTGCCAGTGCCGAGTCATCACTCTGCAAAACAGTATTTGTTTGAAATTTCAAGAACAGCATATAGGTTACAACCACCACTTTAATTGCATTAAGTCATAAAAAAAAGCCAGAGAACTTTATTCCTTTCTGCCATCACAGCAATTATGGTTTAGATTGCCCTCAAAACACACATGGCAGTACCAAAGTGTCTTGACTTGCTTTAGTCACTTCCACAGCTGTTGCTGTGATAATTTCTGCTACCTTTTTTCTTGGAGGAGTATTCTTCTGTTTCCAGCCTAACTTCTTTTATCATTAAGTAGTAAATACTTTTGCATACACATGGGTTCAAGTAGACCCTATGACTAGAAAACACTTTGTACCCTTCAAGATGAGAGCAGGTTAGAGGAAGCCACTCAGAAGTTGCTAGCTTAAAGCAGAACTTTCCTCATTGCTATCTCCCCTAATCTCCTTAGACTTGAATACTGAAAACTGTCATCCTACTAAAATTTTATAACCTCATCACTATAAAACACCTGAGCATGAAGACTGAACTGAACAAATTACAGAGATGTTGAGGATAGGGTGCAACTTAGTTGAGGAGTTGTTACTAGGATAGTTTATCCCCACTGGGTTACTTTTTTCCTCCTTTAAACCAGAAAGTTATTTTCTCCAAGGATTTTTTAGGTTTAAGAACATGTATTATGTTACACCAGTTTCTTTGCTGTAAAGTGTCAGTTGAGAAGACTAACAATAAAAAGGGCAAGAATAAAATTGTCAGTAAGGATCATCCTTAGTCTTTGGAATGTTTGCAGCTACAGCAGCTGAAAGCTTGCCCTTCTCTATGTTCAAATTCTGTATTGATAAAGCAATTCTAACTGACCTAGCAGATCAACGGTAGCACGGTTAGCGCCAGCAGACTGCAGGAGAAAGAGTGGGCTCAAGTGTTCCCATAGCAAACCCTGGGAGTGTCTCCCAAATACACATATAATCTAAGCAAGCATGTTAAGAGCTTGTAAAAGCTTGCCTAGGTAACTTGGAAATAGGTGATAGCTCGTTTTTGCTAGTGTGCTGATGCCCATACCAAAGACAGGTGAAACACCCCTACTGCCTCCAGCTAAATTCCACAAGCCAGAAGAGAATGTGCTTCACATATGTAAGTAAAATCCCTTGCTGGCAGGTTTGCAGAAACAAAATTTTATTTACACAGGCAAGTCTATCTTTAGACCCCATTGAACTCTTTACATTTCTAGAATATTTACATAATTTCAAGATGCTCCAAGAGTAGAGTGATGAACAAAAAAAAAATTACAGAAACTGTCAAAAGCATAGCAAAAAAAACCCAACCTATCATTGTGCTTTAAAACTTATGATCTAGAGTAATGTAGAAGAAATGTAATTTTAGCACCTTGGTCATAACGGTCATGCTATATAAGACACTTAAATAGCAGGGGGGATGTCAGAAGTGACCGTATCCAGAGGTTGCCAGTGACAATTCATGAGGGAATCATAGAGTTCTTCACTTGTCTCCATAAATTGTCTGTTCATTTCATCAACATCCAAGTAAAGCTGTGGATCTGGAAAAAAAAAAAGCCTGGTAAGTACAAATGTCAGATCTTGGGAGGCATGCACACAAGAACTTGCAGTAAATGCCTAATAAAATGTCTTTTAGCTAAATTTAATAATTTAATAGGAAGTATAATAAGATGTTTATTCACCTAGAATTTTAACAAACCTGACAAGTCCAGCTTCTTTTGGAATTTGTATATTAGAATGCTAGGACTACATTGGTATTTCAAGATAAAGAGCAGATTTAAGGACAATTAACCATTAAACTTGCCTAAAATCCATTTAATTAATTTCTACTACAGCATGCGTTACACAGGATAAAATTTCTGAACACTAACACAAGATGCCTCTAAGCAAGGAACTGTCTGCAAACCTTCCAGGCCAAACAATTAAGTTTTGCACCAAATCTTTAAGTGCAAGTTGAATCCTCCTTTTAGGACCTGCAATGTAAGCTTTTATTTCAGGGTTTGGAAAACAAAGCTTTTGCCTATTAATGAATTTAACATAGAACATGCTTAGCAGAATCAATACAAAGATATGACAAATTCTGTATTAGACCACTTTGGAAGGAGAATGAAGGTAGAGTTACAAGAAACCTACTGTGAAGTGTTGTTGACAGTGTCCCATTCTACTTGACATGGTGTACACTACCAGCTTTAAAAATCCTACCTCATCTCAGCTATAACCCAGAGGATCCCACTACATCAGCTGAATTTCCAAGACATTCTTCATCCAATAGTCATTGCCTTGTATTGTTAAAGAGCACAGGTATAGCTAAACTCAAGTTACAGTGATAGAATCATCATTACCTTCAGTTATTAGGTCATCACTGATTTCAGTCATAGCTGCAGTTTCCTAAAAAAAAAAAAAAAAAGGAAGAAAAACTCAAGTTTAATCATAATCCATTCCAGAAAGCATCACAAATCGAAAATAATTTTGTACTCCCAAACCATTCCCCTCCTCCCACAACTACAAGAACAGGCAAGGGGGCAGGGGCTGTGTTTGTTGGGGATGGGGTTTTGTTTTTTTTTTGGCAGTGGTGGTAGTTTGTTTGGGATTTTTGTTTTGGTTTTGTTTGGAGGGTGGTTTTGGGGTTTTTGTTTGTTTGTTTTTAAAGAAACCATAATATAGTTCAGGTTGGAAGAGACTTCTGGAAGTTGTTACTGATAAATTGGCTGATCTAAGGTAAGACCATCTTACAATAATTCTTTAATTTGCTTTAAGCAAAGTACATCAGAAAAACAGGAAGAGAGGAACCCTACACAATTACGCAGTCAGAACTGTTATTCGGCATACGTGAACAAATAATGGTGCATAAATCTCTAGTTCTATAGATGCACTAAAGCACTTAAAATCCAAGACACCTCTGAATGAAGCCTGCTATTCTAAGCTCCACACCAAGCAGAAAGCATGACTTCAGTTTTAGGACTTCTTTTTGCTCTGGCTTACACAATTTGTACAACTTATTATTTGTGAATTTTTCTTTAAAGCAAGTGTGTATATCTTTACCTCAAAAACAGCTGGAGCCATAACAGCATCTCCTAAAGAGCAGTCTCCAACAGCTTGCATGCTATCATAGGGAGCATAGGAGCTGTAGTTGTAATCAGCATAAGGATCATAACCCCACTGTGAGTAGTAGTTCTGATAATCTTGGTAATAATCATTATAGTTGTATGACTGGTACCGCTGGAATTCTGCTTTCAGTCTGAAACATGAGAAGTTACATACAGTTAGTTTGAGAACAATAAACTGTAAGCCCAGTCCTGAAGTTAAACAATTTGCCAGCTTACACATTTCAAAGTTTAAGAGGAAGCTTTTCTGAATAGTTGCCTAAGCAACAGTTTAAGTCACAGCACAAGATCTCATGTTTATACAGAAGCAAATGCTCCCACCATCACCAATACCAAAAGTAATTATTTTCATGGATTAACTCAAGCCATGACACTTATCTGTATTCATTTTGAGTATTTTTAGTATCTGTATAAGCAAGCTGCTGCTAAAATCTTTGAGCTCTACTAAAAAAATAATTTAAGACCAGAGACATTTATCGAGCACAGCTGCTTTAAAGATGCATTCAGTCTTAATTAGCCCCTCTATGTTTTGCCTGGTTAATACTAAGTCTTATTTCCAGAAACAAGGGGGTGAAGTCAGATTATTGTTTCAGAGGAGCATCTGACACTGCCTGCCAGTTTGCCGTGTCTACTGCCACCTGCTCAATTTTTAGTCCATGAACAGTAGCCAAAGTATAGCTGTCAGGTGAAGTCAGCACTGCCATTATCCAGCACAAAGCCAAAGCAGCAGGAAAATGACAAAATTCATTGGTTCTTAAGACCAAAGGGCCAGCTGATTAGTTCTCGCTACTTTCCCTCTCCTGAGCAGATTTTCTCAGGGACAACTCCACACTAATGACAAGAACCAATGCACAAGCATTGTCTGTACTAAAACAGAGGTACACTACATTAAATACATTCAGATAACCCAGCTGCATATTCCAAAAAATCCTCTATGCTTAGACATTTCTTCACTAATTACATATAGGTAGACCTCCTGTGTTTGCCGAGTTCAATTTCTCCGCATCTCCACTTCATTACAGAAAAGTCAGGTCTAGGCTTGTTGTCAAAAACACAAACTGAAGGAGCTCAGAAATAGAGTTTCCAATGTAAGTGACTTAGTGACAAACTACTCTGATGGCTGGATATCTTGATGCTAGGAAAGCATAGTACTCAGCCATTCAGAAACAGATACAGATTCGTGATGTGTATTTTAATACCTACATTACAATTGTTTCATTACTGTAAAGCTACACATGCATTCTAATAAATAGGTATTCTATTGTCTTGCTACTGTATTAAACAAATGACTACATAAATCTCAAAGTCTTCTGCTTCCAACTTCTCTCCTACATACATCTCCACAGGAAAGAAAAATCTGAGAATACTGCTGACATTCTTCTAGATAGCAGAAGTGAGGAAACCTGTTTCTTTGTGACCTCTTATTTTGAAAATAATTTAGTCAGAGCAATTCTGGACAGTGCTCTCTTGGGTAAGAGCATTTCCATTCCAAGGCAAAGAGGCAACATTTGCAGAATTATCCAGGGTAAAGAGAGAAACAAAAGCTGTTATTTTTACTATTGAACAGAACATACAAGCTAACCTCATGAATATTCTGGAATTGTTTTCTATAAAGTTCTATTTTTTTTTCTGTATCCTGGATCAAAGTTTATCAAATTGGGTATCAATTCTCTAACTGTTCAAAGACTTGAATTGCCTTAAAATAAGTGACAGAGAACTGAGCCAGCAGAGTAAAAAAACCTTCTCAAAACCAGTTAACTTTATATTCCCTGCTGCCCCAATCACTTGAAAAGCAAAGAATCATACTCTAAAACTGTTCCAAAGCAACATCTCCTTTGGCTTCTTCCTCCCTATATTCTGTATTTTTCCACTTAAGAGTTCCTTCCTCTGCCAGCCTACTGTAAAGCTAGCTACGTGCTACCTTGCCTAAACTAGATGGAAAGGTCTAGAAGAAAAGCTCGCTAGCATACAAAACCACTTGTTGTCCCTTCTACCTTCTTCAGGCCCAAACCTGCAAAATATTTATGAATGCATTCAGCTTTGCTACTATAAGAATTAAAGCTGGTTACAACAGCAGCTAAGCTCAAGTTACACAATCTGGCTAGACTTACGAGTTGGATTCCCCCAGCAATCCTGAAAGAGGTTGATGAATCCAGGGAGTCAAAACACAATGCTTCTGTATTTTTCGTTTTGTAGACTGCATCATGTGTACAGCCATTATAGCAAGGGCCACAGACTTTACAAAGGCAGAGCTACAAGAATCTGATTATTTAGAATCACTGTATCAATGCACAACTCATTTGTTACCTTTTAGAAATTCCTATGCTCAGCCGGATTCGTTTTCCCCCCAGACCTGGTGCATTCTGGCAGTCTTGCAGTGCCCTCATCTGATCACCTTGCTCACCAAATCTGACAAAGGCATACCCTCTACAATTTTCAAAAGGGAGAAAACAAATTCTAGTATGCATAACAGTTACAAAGCTAATGAATTCAATTTCTGTCTTCTACAAAAACAGAAGATAGTAGCTACTATAGCTTCCATTACCTAAGCAACCTCTCTGGCACGTGCACATGCACAGAAGATGGTTTCACCAATTAAAAACTTGGGCCAGAAGCAAAAAGCTTGTTCTTTGATAGCATTAAGATGCAACTTGCTGAAAGCCAGCAGAACAACGCATTTTCATTGCTACCTGTGCAAGTAATCAGATTCCATATTTCTGCATTTACAGCAGTTAATTTATCAGTTAGTATTGACCCACTCCTACCACTGTACAGAACTAACATTCTTTTTATACTTGCTTTCTCTTCAGTTTCTTGAATTAGTCTGTTACAGCCAGCATTGTCTGAACAGCAAACTCACTCATCCCTGCTTGACTCACTGCCTGGCCAGTGTAACTTCTGCTAGGCTTTATTTACTAATATTAATAGGTTCAGTCTCCCAACCCCCTAAGATTTGCCAGGCCTTACACTTTTCTCCCACATGTAAAAAGGGAATTATTTTGTCTTTGGTCCTGCAGATGACTAAGTGGACACGCTGCTGTACGTAAGCACAGCAGCACAGGTATTGGTGCACAGCTCTCCCTTCTCCCACCGTCTAACTTCTTTCATGCAGATATGCATATGGCTAAATTGAAGCTTATCACGTTAACTGCTTAAACTAACCAGGAAGTTTTAGAAATGCAAGGATCTATGCTGTTAAAAGAGTAATGCTAGAGGCTAATCTCTCTTCCTGCCTCTGAAGAAAATGCAGAAACTGTTCCAATGCAAGTTCTTAAATATTATGTATAGAAGCAAACATGCTAACAGCATTACACGTTTTCACAAGCATTACCTGGAATATCCCAGCAGGTCTGTTGCTATTTTGCAGTCAATACATGAGGGGTACCTCTTTAGGAAATAGTCATAGAGCTGGAAATCATCCACTTCTGGAGTAAGCTCCCCAACAAATATTGAATAATCTGGTCTTTAAAAAGATATGAGAGAATAATTGTCAAGTTTGAAACCAAGGTAGCCGACTGCAGTATTAAGGTACCTAACATATAAGCAGGTACTTATCACTGGACAAATAAGGAGACAAAATCTGAAGAGAGTACTAACTGCAAAACTCTATGAGTAACATACAGAACTGCAATGCCATCACTCCAGCATAGAGTTCTCAATTTCTCTGGGTCCATTCTACTGCTTTTGCAAAAAAAAAAAAAAAAAAAGCATAAAACCAAAAACCCCTTTTTTTAAAAAAAAAAAAAAAAAAAGCGCATTACACCAAAGACCCATTTTATTAAAAAAAAAAACAAACAAAAACCCAAACTTTTAGAAGTTGGTTTTAAGAAAACATATTTTTTGTCTGAACTGGGGGGGAGGAGGAGGCACAAAAATACCAAGAGAAACTATTAACTCAAGTTACAGCCATGATTCTAAAGAGCTATGACTATTTTGCCACCACTTCTCAGTGATTATGGGAGAGAGAAACCACAAAAAATTTCATCATTCTATTGGCAATGCATTTCCATAAGCAATACTTAGTGTATAGGCACCAGATGTGCCATTTCAGGATTTAAAATAAGTGATGGCATTCACTTGTCACTATCAATTTAAACAGGTAAGGGGTCAGAGCTTCTCATTTCAAAAGGTCTTTACCTGGCTGAACTACTACTAGGGACAAACTCTATTCTTCCTGGTTTTATTTTGTTCTTTTTCTTCCGTTTCTTCTGTGGTGTCCTCCACCAGCTGTAGGCCTGGAGACATTCTCTTTTTTTCGCCATTAAGTCCTGTTGGGAGAAAAAGAAAATCACCTTTATAGTATTTAGCCTCGTTTACATTCCTCCCTCCCTCTCCCCATCACCACAGGTGATTTCCCCATATTCACCTTGCCCTTGAAAGAAGCCTGGGGTCCCATTTCTCCCTCCGCCTCCCATGAGGGAAAGCAGCCTCTGGGGAAAACGCCTGGCAAAAATAACAGAGCCAAAGGATTGTATGAACAGCCATATTCCCCTGACTTGTCAAGCTGGCTAAAGGATTGACAGCTTCCTCCTGGAATTAGGGAAAAAGCAGATAGCCCTTCGATGTTGGCCAATCCTAAATGTTAATTAGCTTCAGGACTGGACTGTGTTCCACTTGAGCTCCAGGACTCAAAAAACCCTGCAGCAGCACAGTCTTGAGTTATGAAGAGGCAGGGAAATCATCACTCTTGCCTAGAAGGGATCTCAGCTGTCCCTGTCTCCCCTCACCCAGGAATTCTTCTTCCCTTATGAGATGCCTCTCCTCACTACCCAGCTGTGAGTCACTCTCCCAGGCCAGGAACAATGACAGGAGGCCGATTAATGGAACGTAAGGAGAAAGCAGACCAGGAACAGGCACTAGCTTGGCTGAGGGAAAATTCAAACCCAGACGCAAGGCCAGGAAGAAAGAGGCATAAAAAGTGCCTCTTGAGGGGAAAAAAAAAAAAACAAAAAACAAAAAACCAAAAACCCAAAAACCACAGTTTAAAAAGGAAGTGGGGCAACTACACGAAACAGGAGGGAAACAACAGCTGTGTTAACACAGGTTGCCTCCCTCGCTTAAGATTCTGAAGAACGAGGATTTCCAAAAATAAGAATGGTGTTTCGCAGCATTTTTTTTTACTTACGCAGGCTTTAATGTTGTTCCTCTAGAACACCTCTACATATATCTTACATAGAGAGTGTTATGCGCAAGGTCCTTCAGAAGAACTCATGCTCAAACAATCCAAACTGCAAAGCTTAATGTTATGCCCCCAACCTGCTTCAGCTGACATGATTAAGTGTCCAGGGGCCAGCCACCAATTACCAAATTACCAGAAGAAATTGTAGGACTAAAAGAACACCCAACTCAGAGCAAGCTAGCTATTTCAGCTTTACATTTACTAGGAATTCTGAGTATGGTTCTGGAATCCATTCAGGCACTGCAAGCCTGAATTTCTGACCAAATGATCTTACCTGGCTTGCCATGGTTCAAACTGTCTTCTGCCTCTCTCAAAGAACACCGCTGCACAGGTTCAGTTTTCTGCACTCCTTCAGCTGAAAAAGATGCGGGGGAGGAACAAGAAGATAAAAAACCTTGAACTGGAGATGAATTACTTCCAAAGATGTTCACCCTGCCTTATGTTTTTAATGTTATTAATTCAGAACTTAAATTTCTAAGTTCTGACTTGTCACTGCTAAAGCAGTGGAGATAAAAAGGATATCTGGCCAATGGGATTATGATTAGAAGTCATCTTCACTTTCCTAAATTGTACAGTCCACAAAGTTTTCCCACTGTTCAAAGCACTAGAAAATTACAGAGAGCTTTTAAGTTACCTATGCTTTACCCTTATTTCTGAAATACCTACATAATTCAGAAGATCCATGTTTTTCCATGTTCTGTAATAGCTAAAAACAAGGCAACAAAGATAGAGGCTGCAGTATGTTTTGTACAACCCCTCAGTTTTTTCCTCCTTTTAGCCAAATTAAAAAGTTGATTTACTTGTACCACAAATTATACAGCTGAAAACAAGCAGTGGTACTTCCCATGTGCTAAAGAAAAAGAGAAATACAAGAGGGAGGAGGGCACAGTACAGGTAAACGCAATCTTTCTCTGCACCTCTTCTTAGGTATGTCTTCTCTTTTGCCTCTTCCATATACACATTTCACTCGCTACCAGTGAGTTAGCAACAACAGATGACCTTTTACTGCTATCGCTAAACCAGTGGATACCTTTTCAGGAAAGTGTATGTACCTCCTTCTTGATTCGGATAGCCTTTCTTTAGACATTTTTTCCCTAGTCAGCCAACGAATACAAAACAGTGTAGTAAACAGTTCCGTTTGAATAATATTTTGCACCTACTTCCACACACAGCTGTTCATTCACCACTGCTGATTTTTTACATCCAGTGTTGCTCCTATGCAGATACTTGATTGCTGAAGTTTTAATTCCCATTTCCATGCAAGAATTTATGTAATGTTTTATGTACTGGCTGATCAAATCCACATTCACATAATACAATAAATACAGAATGTTTGTAAAGCCTTAAAGGCTTGCTCACACAGGGGAACAGTTCAGAGCATTACTTCTGAAAATGGATTACGCTAACCTGACGCAGGACAGCCATATACCATAATTAGAGCATTCATGCATGGTGTTATTCAAGATAACTATGCACTTCATCCCCACACCCATTCTGAAGCCCAGAAAACAGTCAAGGACAAACAAGCCCTTAAATACACGCATATACCAGTAAGGTTAGCATATGACCTCTTACTAAACCTAACTGTGCTCATTATAAAGAATTATCAGCATCAATTTCTTCCTGTTGAAGAAGGCTATTTTTAATAAAATATCCACGTAGTCATATTCCTCCAATTCAAGCATCACTTTTATTAGAAGGAACCATAAACCCCTCCATGCTCTAACCACTGAAATACTAACTATTGAATTCACAGCCACATAATGTGGTTTTTTTTAACTCACCGCTCTTTATCTGTGCAGATTTAACAGAAGATGGCACACGCTACAAAGCCGTTTTATTGCAAAAGACTATCAGAAGGCAAGTGACACAATCGATTCTCGATCACAGTTATCACAGACTTTTACACAAAACTGCAGTGTTCCCCGTCTGATTTTTGACTGTCACTTCTTGGTCTTTTCACTAGAAAACAAAGATATTTAACAAGCAGTTAGAATAGCATGTATTAACATAATATTTTTTTACATTTGCTTTAACTTAGAGTCATTTACATTAACTTAAGTGGTAAGCCAGCTGTGACTAAGTTAAGAAGTGGGGCAGCTTTAACTACCAGAACTCAAACACTTTCTTAATTGGATTACACACGCATTTTAGCAGCCCATTTATTCCACGTTTTTATTACGATGTTTGTACTGGCAAGAAGGCGGATGAAGCTATTTACGAATAAAATCGCCTGTACGAGCACCGCTCACCCCAGCTCGGAAGACAGGCCGCCCCCTTCCGCATTAATTTGGCTCACATGAGAGGCTGGGTCAGGGCGGCGGGCTGGGGGAATCTTTCAGAGCGCCTCAGGCCGGCGCGGTGACCCCAGCCCAGCCGCCCAACGAGCCCAGGCCCGAGGCGCACCGTGCCGTGACGCATTTTTATAAGCCACTCGGCACGACGGGAAAAGCCACGGCGCCCGGCAAGAAGTGCGCCCCGCCCGGCCGCGGCCCTCCGCGGCGGCCACACTGGCGCCGAGGCCGCGCTTCCCGTTTATTGTGCTACGAGATAAGGGGGGGAAGGGAACAGCGCCCGCGGGGCCCCGAGGAGGGCTGCGGCACTCCTCCCGGGGCGGGGGGGGCT